CAACAAGCTATTATAAATAGTTTTGTAACTTAAAGCTAGAGTGTGACGAAATATATACAACTTAATCTAGGGGTTATTTACAGTAACTAGTGATGACCGATTTATGTTTGTACATATATGTATAATATCGATACTGCTACAATTCGGCCATCCTGACGTCAAGGATCTCCTGATCCCGACGGATAAAAACGACATTGAACAGTTTGTTTAACGCACACTTAACTTATCCTAGTTTTACTTCTGGTATTATAGCATACTTTTTCATTGTGAACATCTGGACTACCTCTTTGTACTATAACGTTATTACTAGATTTTTTAAAGCTCTTATTACTAGTTTTTATCTTATCATCCACCATTTTAGACCAACCGAACCAGGGTTTAATATTAGCTGCCGACCAAATACCTTTATATGGCACTCTTGAAAGCTGATATCCATCGACATCTTCAAACAAATACCTATCGTTCTGAAGAATTTTCGTAATCTTGTAAGGTCCTTTGAACTTTGGAACCATTTTCTTAGAAATACCTTTACTAGCATCGAAATTCTTAACGACAACATAATCGCCCGGGTTGTATGCTATTGCTTTCTGCCGCTTCTCGTTTGTGATCTTTTCGTTATACTTCTGTAACTGAGTTTCTTTTTCACTGGCTCTAGTGCGTATCAATTCTAAATTCCTTTCGCTGTCTTGTTTATTTGGAAGTATATTTTCTTTCAGTTCGTCTATTACATTACCTCTCTGTCCAACCCCAAACAGCAAAATACTTGGATGCTGGTCAATTGACCTGTGAACAGTATTGTTCATTGTAAACTCTATATTTTCCAACACTGTTTCCAGACCCGGACTTTTTTCTACATTGACTAATTTGGCTAGCATGGGACCTAAACTCCTATTTATTCTTTCAACTTGGCCATTCGCTTGAGGTGACCCTGTAGCAATTTTAATATGCTGAACGTTTTGTGTTTCTAGAAAAGAAGAGAATTCAGTCGATGTAAAACACGAACCACGATCAGAAACGACATATTTGGGCCTGCTATACGACCTGAAGTAATCTTTTAGCGCGGTTATTGCTTCTTTCGACTTAGTGGTTTTG